ATTTGAGATCATAGAATCATAGAATCCCTACAGTGTGAAAACAGGCCCTTCGGCCCAACAAGTCCACACCGACCCTTGGAGCATGTCCATTCAAAAGTCTGATAACAATAGGGAAGAAGTTTTCTTGAATGTATTCATATGTATATTCAAACTTTTATATCTTCTGCCTGGTGGAAGAGGGTGGGAGAGAGTATAACCAGGGTGGGAGGAGTCTTTGATTATGTTGGTTGCTTTCCCGAGTCAATGGATGGGAGGCTGGTTTGGGTGATGGACTGGGCTGTGTTCACAACTCTCTGTAATTTCTTGTGTTCTTGGGCAGAACAGTTGCCAAACCAAACTGTAATCCAGATAGGATACTTTCTATGGTACATTTATACAAATCAGTAAGACGTGGTAAGAATTGGTAAAACTTCAAACAAGTTGGACACTTGTCCACTTTTGGAGTGTCTGAGGGTTAATAGTCAATGCATAAAAGTTCCCTGAACCAATCTCAAAACAGCGCTTACAAACATTAATCTCCCCCTGCAAATCATCAGCGAGTGACAAACATCTTCTTCAACCCCAGCCCCCCTGTGAATAAATTAAACTTGAATTTTCCTCAGCCTGCCCAGAGACACTTTCAAAAAGCAAGCAATCAATGAAACAAACAACACTCCTACAAGGGGCACTGCAACCAAGCAGTAAAGGAACCTGATCAAGTTAAATTGAAAGCGCAGTCCCAGGACCAGTAACGTACTTGGGTTCCGGCAATGCCAATGGGTTGTGAGATGCCTCAGTTAGACATTGTGTGCAGTGCAAGGGCACACCAGCTCCCATGCAACTCCAGGTGAGGGGGACAGACAGGTTGTTCGGTTGATCAAACCCTTCAACAGCCATCTTGGCCAGGCTCAGGAGGAGGCCCACTCCACACTAAGTGATCAAAGATCAGGAGCGTTGGGCTGAAGTGCAATCAAATCCCATGAAGCAACCCTTTGAACGAAACATAAATTAGGTGCTACAATCTCACAGAGCCTGCAGCTACATGGAACATGGGCTCAAGAGATAAAAAAGGAAACCGACCTGGGATCACCCTGATCATATTGGCCAAAGCGATTGGGAGACAGCATGTGGGAACAGAGAGGGTCTACATAACCCAAGTTTTGAAGGTGGTGGGACAAGTTAAGAAAATCGTTATAAAAGCCGGCTTTTCTGAAAGAGAATGGATTAGGTTTTGTTAAACTTTGAATAAATACGGGTAATGTCCCGGTTACTTTAATTTTTTTGTCTTGACACTTTGAGAGAGATATCAAAACCTGGGAGATGCTGTAGAAGAGATTGACTAAATGGGACCAGGGATGAGGCACGTCAGGCTGGAAAAGCTGAGGGAGGTTGTTTTGTTTCGAGCAGATGGGTCAGGGGGAGATTTGATGGCAATGTTCAAAATTATCGATGGAGTAAATCAGGAGTTTCTGCTGCCGGATCAGATTCAGTAACCAAATGTTTTTTTATTCATTCATGGGATGAAGACATCGCTAGCTAGACCAGCATTTATCATTCATCCCTAATTGCCCAGAAGGCAGTTAGGAGCCAACCAAGTTAGGAGCGATGGAAAGGGATCAGTATATACCACAGGGCAAGAGTTATAGCTGGGGGAAAGGCAATTATGAGGCGATGAGGCAAGATTTAGGATGCAAAGGATGGAGAAGGAAACTGCAGGGGCTGGGCACAATTGAAATGTGGAGCTTGTTCAAGGAACAGCTACTGCGTGTCCTTGAGAAGTATGTACCTGTCAGGCAGGGAGGAAGTGGTCGAGCGAGGGAACCGTGGTTTACTAAAGAAGTTGAATCTCTTGTCAAGAGGAAGAAGGAGGCTTATGTAGAGATGAGGCGTGAAGGCTCAGTTAGGGCGCTTGAGAGTTACAAGTTAGCCAGGAAGGACCTAAAGAGAGAGCTAAGAAGAGCCAGGAGGGGACATGAGAAGTCTTTAGCAGGTAGGATCAAGGAAAACCCTAAAGCTTTCTATAGGTATGTCAGGAATAAAAGAATGACTAGAGTAAGATTGGGGCCGGTCAAGGACAGTAGTGGGAAGTTGTGCGTGGAGTCCGAAGAGATAGGAGAGGTGCTAAATGAATATTTTTCGTCAGTATTCCCACAGGAATAAGACAATGTTGTCAAGGAGAATACTGAGATACAGTCTATTAGACTAGACAGGATTGAGGTTCATAAGGAGGAGGTGTTAGCAATTCTGGAAGGTGTGAAAATAGATAAGTCCCCTGGGCCGGATGGGATTTATCCTAGGATTCTCTGGGAAGCCAGAGAGGAGATTGCAGAGCCTTTGGCTTTGATCTTTATGTCGTCATTGTCTTCAGGAATAGTGCCAGAAGACTGGAGACTAGCAAATGTTGTCCCCTTGTTCAAGAAGGGGAGTAGAGACAACCCTGGTAATTATAGACCAGTGAGCCTTACTTCGGTTGTGGGTAAAGTGTTGGAAAGGATTATAAGAGATAGGATTTATAATCATCTAGAAAGGAATAATTTGATTAGGGATAGTCAACACGGTTTTGTGAAGGGTAGGTCGTGCCTCACAAACCTTATTGAGTTCTTTGAGAAGGTGACCAAACAGGTGGATGAGGGTAAAGCGGTTGATGTGGTGTATATGGATTTCAGTAAAGCGTTTGATAAGGTTCCCCATGGTAGGCTATTGCAGAAAATACGGAGGCATGGGATTGAGGGTGATTTAGCGGTTTGGATCAGAAATTGGCTAGCTGTAAGAAGACAGAGGGTGGTGGTTGATGGGAAATGTTCATCCTGGAGTTCAGTTACCAGTGGTGTACCTCAAGGATCTGTTTTGGGGCCACTGCTGTTTGTCATTTTTATAAATGACCTGGATGAGGGCGTAGAAGGATGGGTTAGTAAATTTGCGGATGACACCAAAGTCGGTGGAGTTGTCGATAGTGCGGAAGGATGTTGCAGGTTACAGAGGGACATAGATAAGCTGCAGAGCTGGGCTGAGAGGTGGCAAATGGAGTTTAATGCGGAAAAGTGTGAGGTGATTCACTTTGGAAGGAGTAACAGGAATACAGAGTACTGGGCTAATGGTAAGATTCTTGGTAGTGTGGATGAGCAGAAAGATCTCGGTGTCCATGTGCATAGATCACTGAAAGTTGCCACCCAGGTTGATAGCGTTGTTAAGAAGGCGTACAGTATGTTAGGTTTTATTGGTAGAGGGATTGAGTTTCGGAGCCATGAGGTCATGTTGCAGCTGTACAAAACTCTGGTGCGGCCGCACTTGGAGTATTGCGTACAGTTCTGGTCACCGCATTATAGGAAGGATGTGGAAGCATTGGAAAGGGTGCAGAGGAGATTTACCAGGATGTTGCCTGGTATGGAGGGAAGGTCTTATGAGGAAAGGCTGAGGGTCTTGAGGTTGTTTTCGTTAGAGAGAAGAAGGTTAAGAGGTGACTTGATAGAGACATACAAGATGATCAGAGGATTAGATAGGGTGGACAGTGGGAGCCTTTTTCCTCGGATGGTGATGGCTAGCACGAGGGGACATAGCTTTAAATTGAGGGGTGATAGATATAGGACAGATGTCAGAGGTAGGTTCTTTACTCAGAGAGTAGTAAGGGCGTGGAATGCCCTGCCTGCAAAAATAGTAGACTCGCCCACTTTAAGGGCATTTAAATGGTCATTGGATAAACATATGGATGATAATAGAATAGTTTAGGTTAGATGGGCTTCAGATTGGTTTCACAGGTGGGCGCAACATCGAGGGCCGAAGGGCCTGTACTGCGCTGTAATGTTCTATGTTCTATGTTCTATAACCACATTGCTGTGGGCCTGGAGTCACATGTAGGCCAGACTAGGTAAGGATGGTAGATTTCCTTCCCTAAAGGGCACTAGTGATCAAGATGGGTTTTTCCCCTGACAATCAACAGTGAAATCATGGTCATTATTAGATACTTAATTCCAGATTCTTTATGGTGGGATTTGAACCCAGACTTCAGAACATTATCTGAGTTTCTGGATTAATAGCCTAGCAATAATACCACTAGGTCATTGCCTCCCCAATGGAATGTGGTTGGCAAAAATAAAATCAGAAGTAATGGGAGAAAACATTTTAAAAACAAAAGTGTTTTTGTGAGCTGATGCACTGCTCAAAAAGCTAAAGAATAATTGGATAATAATTGGATAAGCTGCATATTAAGAGAGGTATAATGCCATGGGGGTAATATCACTGCATTAGTAAACCTGAGGCATAGATTAATGTTTTTGGGACATAGGTTCAAATCCCAATATGGAATTCAAACGCAGTTAATAAAATTCAGAGCTATACGCAAATCTCAGTGATGTGACCATGATTGCCTGCTGCAAAGTTAAAAATCCCATCTGGTTCACCAATATCCTTTCGGGAAGGAAATCTGTGATCTGGTCCACGTGACTCCACACCCACAGCAATGTGGTTGACTCTGAACTGCCCTCTGAAATAGTCTGGCGCACCACTCAGCTCAAGGCCAATTAAGGGCAGGAATAAATGCAGACCTCACCTAGCGACATCCACATCCCACAAAAGCATGAAAAATAAAAGAGAGTAAATAGTTCCAGGGCTGGAGAGAGGTAGGATTAGATGTTGCAAAAGGGTTAGCCCATGCACAATGTGCCAAATGACCTCATTCTGTGCTGTGGCATTTTGTGATGATTTCTGGTCGCCCCATTGGAATGTTTAGTTAGACCATCCAGCGTGACCACCACTAATGAAAGACAGGTAGAAGCTGGAGTGTAACACTGTCCTCAGGACATCCAGATTGGGTAGAGAGAGGCGGTAGCCCAGTCACTATTGTCTGACTTGCACTAGAACATGCATTTGTGAATGTCAGGGTGAAAGCAGGTGATGTCCCCACAGTTACATGGCCTGTATTATGACTCCCTGCCTATTCCAGTCTGATTCAGATCCAATCCAAGATCACAAATAAATCACACGCATACAACAAAGTCAAAGTTTATTGGTAAACTATGCAACAATGTAGTAGACTATACATTTAATACTGTACTGTGAAATAAAAACACAATGAAGTACAAAACTATACATTTTAAATACAGTTCAAGTGACTGTACCAAGAAATTCCTTTCACCCAACTAATGAACTAGGCGGAATTCTCATCCCAAAAGTGACACTGACCACTCCTTGAACAGCCATGGAAATCCATTCAAAAAGGAGCCTCGAATTTAACTTAACTTTCTTTTTTAAAAAATGCAGAATTCCAAGTGCAGGCTAGAGCCATTTGTGACGACATTCACAAAATGTCAGGATTGGTGATTGATTGCAGGATTATATTCGCAGTGTAGTTAAAGAAGAAACAAAATGACAGGAACATTTTTTGTTGATGAATCTTTTTCCAAGGTAATTATATTGTTCTTTTGTGCTGTTAAAATTATTTTCTTTGAAGGAACGTTTAATTAAATGTTCGGGTTTATAAGAAATTGATTTCGCTCATTGACAATCCTGCCAATTATTGGGCATCATGCGAAAATGGAGAAGATTCTAGAATTTTCTCCCCCATAAAAACATTTCCAGATTCCCCAACAACAAAAGGGAGTTTGGCGTTAATCTCCATGGCAACATGGGCCTGGTAGTAAGTCGGCCATTTTGGAGGCACGGCCTGCACATAGGTACTGGGCCTTTGAGTTCAAAGGTCAGTGGTTAGTGGCCACACTATGCCCTCAAGTTCAAATATTGATGGTGAGTGACAGTACAAATTTAGAAACTTTAGATGCAAAAAGCTGATACATTTATAAACAAATAGAAATAAATGATATCTTAAAATTTATATTAATAACTTATAGAAGTAGTAATCGTTTCCCTTTCTCTTACTGCTTATAACAATGACTAAATAACAAACCTGCATATAAAAGGAAAGACTCTGGTCCCAGACTTTCCAAGTGCATCTTTTTACACATTAAATTTCCAATAAATAATTATCCAAAACAATGAAAAGACAACAGAAGGAGCTGGTTTCTAAAGATGGAGACATCATAAAATTAGAAAAGAAACAATTTAACAAAAATAGGGGGAATAATTGCACTTGAGATGTAGCCAGTGAGATTATCTTGGTAAATAAAATCTTTCTCAAGGTCCTTTTGGAAGAATCATTGAAAATAATAAACCTGACTGTCGTGAGGTTTAATTGTTCCCAGTCTGAAGATATTACAACTCTCATCAAAAACTTCTTCAAAGTGAAATAAAAAGTATTGGGACAGTGATTTCCATACAATCAGAATTACACCGAAACATACTGTCACAGAACACATAAACTTTGATACAAAAGAAAGCCTCATTAAAAGTGCTAATTTGCTACTTGGTGTTTCCAGTAATTGTGGAGTCTTTTTTTTGCAAAGTCACTGGCAAAATGGAGTCTTTGTTTGAGATTGCAGTGATATCAGCAAGCAATCACCTCAGTAGTATGTGCACTCTGAACAGGTGGGTTTCCAAAGATCAGAAGTCTCTCTCACCCTGTAGCAAAACTTTAGAGTCACAGAAAAACAGGGAGGAGACAGCGAGTGTGTGTGAGAGAGAGAGAGAGAGAAAGGGGGTTGGGGGAGCAATCTTAACCATAACCGCCAGGCATAACAAGATCACCCTGTCCAGTCCACCTTCAATGGAGATCAAAGTTAGGCCTAGCTGGCAATATAGTGTTGCACACCATCTCAGCAGTGTCTGACAGGGCACATTAGGTCAAAACTGCACCCCTTTGTAGAGAGTCCCATGTAGTGTAAACCCTACACATTCAGTATCCCCACCCCACAGTCCTCAGGCTCCGTGCAATGCAGGGAATTAATCCCTAGCCGCTGGACTGAAGAGGCTTCCTTGTTTTCCACGTTCTGTTCGGTCAGTGGGGGCTTCTCCCCTGTGCATTTCCTGCTGCTCTCTGGGCAGTTCTGCACATAGATAACCCTGTTGTATGCCTTGAGCCTCTTCCACAGCTGCACATACACTTTACACTGCACGTACATGAACACGAGTCCCCCAGTGAAGCCAATTGCCACAACCACCAGCTTAGTCCAAAATGGCCACTCCAAGATACCTGCAGAAATGGATTTAAAATGTGTTAATTCATACGCGGTCACCACTGCCTTATGTTGGGCTGGGAGATGGAATAAACATCTAATTATTCCTGGCAATATGTGACATGCTACTTTAAATCCCAATGCACCACCTCAATACTTCTATCCCTTAGCCGTCGCCCTTCCGAAATCACAAATATACGAACATGCTAATTCGCAAACTAGGTGCATGAGGAGCCCATTCAGGTCTGCTGTGCCTTTCAATAAGATCGTGGATGATCTGATTGTGCTTTGAATTCCAAATTCCGCCTTCCCATCCATCTCCGATGGCCTTTGATTCTCGGGCCTAACAGGACTCGAGCCACGTCAGCCTGAAAAATATTGAAGGACCCTGCCTCTAGTGCCTTCTGAGGCTGAGAGTCCCAAAGTGTCTCAGAGAAAAAAGAACATCCCCCGAGCTTCCCTTGTCTCCGTATCTGACCCTCAACTCCCACGGTACTCTCTGCCAATTCCGCAAGACATCACTATCCCACTCACAGAGCCAGTCCTGGCTCACAGGCCAGTGCACACCCTCTGATATCATTCCTGAATGCCCACGGATCTTCAGGCCCCACCTATCTCCAAAACCTGACTGATCTTCACCTGTCCTCTTCACTCCTCAAATCCAGGTTCTTGTTTCTTCCAGTCCAACACCAGAATGAAGAGATCCAGCAGACTCACTGAACACACTGAAAGTCCCTCTCTCAACCCTGGAGCTCCCAATCTGACCACCTCATTGGTCAAAACTCCAATGTTACACTGTGTGCCCTATACTGTGCCCCAGTGTTATACAATAACACCTCTGTACCAATGTTATACAGTGATATACCTGTCCCCACCAGTACTGTATCCCCAGTGTTACATAGTGATATACCTGTCCCC